AAATGTTTTGACACCTAAAACCCCCTAAACANTCAAAACTAAACCCTAATAGAACATAATTAACCCAAACATAAATAATATAAAGAAAAAATAATTTTGAAAAAGTGGCATTTTTGTAAAGATTTCAAAAGTGTGGCATTTTTGTAAAGATTTCAAAAGTGTGGCATTTTTGTAAAATGGCACTTGAAAAATGGCATTTTTTGAAATTTCTCTTTATATTATCTGGTTAATAGAAATCTCGTCTAAAATATAGTACTATATTATACTAAGAAAGAGTATTTTACATGCATTTATATTTGTAAAATAAACTAATTTCATAGAGATTTTTTATGATCTCAAATAATAACATATATGTTTTCTTAATAGAAAACTATATACACATAAGCAGAGGCATAGGCTTCTCCTGCAAAGACAAGATAAAAGTGAATCAAAAATTCAATGAGTAAATGATCATTTCGCATCAATCAATGAATGAGCAAAGGCAAGATAAAAGCGAATCAAAAATCCAATGAGTAAATGATCATTTAGCATCAATTAATGAATGACTAACTTTTTCTTGCAGCTACAGCTTGTTGGTCTTTCAAGAGTCCTGGATAACTCTTGTAACTCTGACGTAGAACCTTATTGTCTTCCATTGTTTCGTCGAGATAAATGAGGATTTAAGTCGTACTCATAGGCTGTTATTGAATCTCGCATATGATCAAGTTTTAGAATTGGCTAGTTCCTGGAGTTTAGTAGTGGCCACTTGTACATAAAGATTAGCCGCTGATTGTAGGGTTTGCATTAGTTTCTCAGTGGCGGCCATGATTTGCACATTTTGAGCATGTGAAAAACCATGTTGTTCAATATCCTGTTGATGAGATTATAAGACCATAATCTATTACATCGATCTCCAAATTAATTTAGGTAAACAAAACAATGATAAAACATTATGTACCTCTATGATCACTTGAGAGACTGTATGGATTCCAGCGTCTTTTAGTTTATCGATATTGTGAGAGACTACATCGTAACGTTTGAGTACTGAAACACAAATTCACTCAATTAACAAATTCACTAAAACGAAAAACATGATTCTAAACTAGTGCAGAGATATTGACGATTTTATGGAAGATATACTCATCATTGAGCAGACCCAACGAAAAACACACAAATATACTACTCCAATATCTTCATTGGACCTCTAACAAACTCAATAGTAAGTTAAAACTTATAATCAATTCGTACTGAATATTCACTTGGTTGTATTTGTGTTTGCTTCTGTCCAAGTGATTTCTTCTTTTTCTTCGCTTTCTTAAAGGTACCCTTTCTCCCTATTCTTAAGATTTTTTATTATCTCAAATAATAACATATATGTTTTCTTAATAGAAAACTATATACACATAAACTATAACCTTTTAATTCACAAAGATGTTTACTAGGGAATTAGGATATAATGTTGTTATATGCATATGAATAACCATAATACCAAATAATAATTTTAGTTAATGAATAGCTAGCTAGTTTATGTAATGTTTTCAATTGTTTAATGTATATTTACTAAATTATCAGAAATCTTTTTATCATTAAGAAATGAATACAGTTTTAGATTTTATATTTAAAACAAAAAATCACTATGTCATATATGTTTTCTTATAATTATTTCATATGTTTAATTTTCAAATATGATAAGGTTGTTACTTCTACTATTTATAGTAGGTTGTGATTCAATTTTTATCCAAAAAAAAAAAAAAGATTATCTCTTTACCAAAACAGAATATATGTTTGACTGAAATTTGTTGGTAATAAAGTTTTTAATAAACATCCAAAATCGTATATGTAATTGATCCTGACCGTCCATAACATGATAGAATTTAGTGTAAAACGTAGCACAGGGATTACTCCCTCTCTCTTCCTTCCTTTCTGATTAAAGAGGCTTGTTTTGTACTATTGAATAGGATTTGATCGTACCCGAAGAAGATGACTTCCATTGATGAATCAAAGCTCCAAAGCTCCAAAGCTCGATGACGAGTTCTCAACAGTAACCTCTTCGGAGCTTATCGTCACCGAAATTGGCACAGATTTTCGAGGTCGTGATTGTTCTTCAGCCTCTCGTGACGTTCGTAGAATTCTCTTGCCTTCTTAATTGCAAAACCTTCCTCAATTTCGGTTTTTTTCTTTGGTGATTTTACTGCTTCGAGTGTTACGGCAAGAGCTATCGGGTTTCTTTTCCAATCGTAATCGCAATTTGGGTTTTTTTTTCATACGGGGATTTTGCCAATTAGGGTTTCAGAATTGGGGGAATTTCGTGATTATGTTTCACTGAAAGGGCTTTGGAGATCCAGGAATTGGCTTGATAAACCTCAATTACTTCTGGGTAATCTCTCGTTCTCTCCCTTGTGCAATTCGGGATTCACTTTGCTGGGTTTCGAATTCGTTTTATGATTATGAATTCCACCATGAAAGTCACACTTTTGTGTCTAACTCATCCTTATGTTTATGATTTTTGTGTTTGAAGCAGGATAACAAAGATCTAAAGGAGTTCCATTTTTGTTCTGTTTACTGATGGGTGAGGAGTTATCTAACACAGTGAACCTGGATTTGAATCTTGGTCCTGACCCTGTGTTAGGTCTCGAGCCAGTAACGAATCTTGCTGCTGTGGATCTAGCTGATTGGGTTAATGGACCACCTTCTAATAGAGAAGCTGAATCTCTGAGAAGGTTAACGACACGGCTCCGGCCACGTTTCAGACAGATTGAGCTTCTTCCGATTCTTGCTGAGACACATAGGCCGGTGATAGAACTGAGTCAATTATTGATCAGTTCTGCTAATGGAGCTGCTTTGCCAGCGGGTGAGGGAAGTTTAGCTGGTGGAGAGAGAGTGAATGAGGACTCGAAAAAGTGCGAGAATGGGAGCAAAGTGATGGAAGAAGACAATGTAACAGAGGAGAAGAGGGATATTGAGAAGAGCACGGGAAGCGATGGGAGCTTTTTCGATTGTTACATATGTTTGGACTTGGCCAAGGATCCAGTTGTCACTAATTGTGGCCATCTTTACTGTTGGTCTTGTCTTTACCACTGGCTACAAGTTTCAGTGGCAAAGGAATGCCCGGTTTGCAAAGGAGAGGTTTCCGTTAAAACCTTGACTCCAATCTATGGCCGTGGGAAAAATAAAAGAGAATCTGAAGAGGTTATAGATACCAAGATCCCTACGAGACCCCGAGCACGGCGCGTGGAGAGTCTGAGGACTTCGCTTCACAGGTCAGCTAATATACCGACGGAAATGATTAGACAGTTACATGAGAGGATAGAAAGGGAATCTAGTACAGGTGAACGACGTGCCAGACCATTTCTTAACCGGTTTATGACTTCGAGAGGAGTTAGAGCAGAGCAGAACCAGTCTAGTGTAGCATTGGTTGAACCATTAGACGATATTGATCTGATCTCAAACAGTCCCCCTGAACATGAAGGGGAAAACGGAAACCAGAGGTCTGGATTGGCAACCCGGAGACAGTTGCAATCACAGAGAGCCGGGAGGACGTCACCGTTCTCTTTGGTGTTGGGCTCTGCGGAAAGAATAGTGGATGCATATCTAAGAACACATAGCCAAGAACAAAACAACATCGCTCCTGTTGGTGTTGAAGACAGAGATTCGTTCTCGAGCATAGTAGGTGTAATAAACTCGGAGAGTCAAGTTGATACCGCGGTTGATATTGATTCTATGTTGACGGTTTCAAGTTCTTCGTCTGTGAGAAGACCTGAGTACGGTCCGAGGGTCTCTGATGTAGACAGTGCAGATTCTCGTCCACTGAGAAGGAGGAGATTGGCTTAGAATGCTTTCTTACTTTCATTGGTGTGTGGAAAATAATGAAGGAGAGCAAGTAAGAGGAAGCTATAGATAATCTGCAA